TTTGGAATTTCCAATCACTGCAGAAATAAAGGTAAAAGGTAACTTAACTTGAAAACTACCGCTTCATGACATCACAATGTGAAACAGTGCATTTTGAATTGTGAATTGTGAATGAAACAAAACATGACTGCAGACATGTTTTTGAAGAGGTAACAACATTATAACATGGCTGCTCACAGGAATCAATTTCACATAATGTACATTTGTTTATGAAATATCAGTGTATCTAGTTATGTTTATGCAATGGGAATTAATTTAACACTGTTTTGTTCTGGTTGCTTGTTACATAAGGCTGCTGCACTATGAAATGCTAACTAATGCCTCTCCACTGAGCCTTATGTAATATGCATGTCTCTTTTACTCAGGGCTGAGGGCAGGAGATGGTCCCTGGCCTCACTCCCCTCGTCTGGCTATGGCACCAACCCGCCCAGCTCCACCGTCTCTGTAAGTCCCCCCTTTACAACGCTTCACAGCATCATGACTATTCTGACACCTCCAGCAGCCCAAATACCACACTCTTTCATGCAATGAGGCAAAGTCAACGCCAAGACTGCTATGACAAACTGCTAATTGTTTTCCCTCCATCATCTGTTTCAGTGAGTCATTCTCCTCATCTGTGGTGCTAATATACACACTGTGTACATTGCATTGGTGCTTTAATTTTCTTATTTACTGTTCAGTTTCAGATCACATCATTCTATATTCATCATTCATATTTAATACAGATGGAAAAATAAATATTGCTAAAATGCAGATTGGATTTGTAATACAGGGAGTTCTAGAGTCTACAAAATACATATTCTCATAAGAAATATCTTAGTACTAAGATATTTCTTATGACACTATTATGTATTTATAGTAGGAAAATCTGCCTCTTCCCCCCCATTTTCACATTTTAGAAAACCACCACTATTGATACTTTGCTACTGATGCCATCAACATTCCCTGGAGTTGTCAGTTGCTAACTGAAGGTACTACTCACTCTGAAGCTCTGTGACTCAAATTAGACTTTAATTTGAGCTTCTTTTTTTTTATTTTTATTTTTTTTATCACACTCTCACCATAAAGAACTGACTTAATTGAAACTGCAACGGGTGAGATGATTTTGCAATCTTAAACAAGTCTCATAAAATTATAGACACAAGATAATTAGCAGTAACCAACATCTTTTCAGTGAGTCACTCTCATCTTTTTTGCTGAAAATCAGACACCGAAATTGGATCATGAACGCTTGTATTGATCACAAGCTCCTGAAAATGTGTTGTTTAAATCTTTTTTTCCTCTTCAGATTTCATGACCTTAACACTAATGTGCTAATGTGTGCATTTGGCTTCATGGTGACTACTGAACATTCCAACATAGAGATGCATAGAGAATACCCCCAGCGTGATGCCACTGCAATACAAATAAAGTGGTTGAGCACTTCTTTCATGTGTGGCTATTATAACCTAGTTTATTGGTGCTGAACCCAGGCTTATAGGTCAGCAGAGACAATGGGACAGTTCAGTCGCTCTCTTTATGTCCAGGCTTTATAAAGAGACTGCACAAATGCTGTCCTCTGCCCCTCTGTTCACCACACGTGGCACAGACAGTGGACAGATTGTCTGCAACACTCACAGCATCCTGTTTAGTTTGATAGAAGTTTGTTCAAAAATGGTGTTATTGAACAACACTTTGAGGCACTTTAAATACTAATTCTGTTTTTGCATAATATAATAGCATGATAATGATAGAGATAAGTACAATAGCATCAGGCCTGTCAGGCTTGTTCAAACATGTTCCTCACTTATCCAGCAGGACAAACCAGAGACACTGACGATGAGTGGATCAACTCAACATTTATGTAATTTGTAAAAATGAAAAAATATGCATATATACTGTATATATACATACGAAAAAATTTTTGGCCTGTCACAATCTTTACTATTATTATTACTTTCGACTTATAGTTCAGTGTATGAAAGCTGGATCATTATATTTTGGGACTCCATATTTAGTAAAATGTGTTTTTTTGGGGTATTTTTGTTGAAATGCGATAAGATTTAAGCTGTCAAAGGTTGAATAAGTGACTTCTAACTAATTATTGCTTCATTCTGTTATTTATTTGTTGCTACTCATGCCTTTGATGATGCTGTCTATTTAAAAATGATTTACTGGGATTAACCTGCATTATTATTATTGTGTCTTTGGCTTTAAGTTGTTTCAATATCATCATTTATCACAGTATTTCTCTGTAGCAATATATCACACTTCATAATTTGTTATTGTGACAGGCCTAATTCTTTTTATGTCTGTTTATGTTATTCGCAGCTTAGGCTCAACATTATGACCACCTGCTTGTTATTAGTCTCTCACAATAGTTTTAGATGTTCTTCTGACCCAGTTGTTTTTCTATCATGACTTGACCTTTGTTATTGTCAGTTTCACATTTTCTCCTCTTTCAAACCCATACCTTAAAGGTGCATTGCGCAACATTTCTGGTGGACGGTCCATCACAAGCTTGTCTTCATGGAGATGTTAATGCTTTGTCTAGAATGTTCCACAGTAGAGATTAAAGCTATCTATCTCAAGGAAAGTGTCTATAGGCTACTTTACAGGCTGGATCTGTTAAGACGCAACCCTATTCACAGAGAGAATTATTGTGTTTTTGAGCAATAGAAACACCCGTAATGAATAAATGTTGCATAGATGTGTTTAATGTCATACCATGGAACATTCCAGGCAGACACTAACATCTCCATGGAGACAGTTAGGTGACGGGCCCTCTACCTGAAAAGTTGGGCAATGCGCCTTTAATGTGAAATTCCTCACTGCCTGTGTCCTACCTTCACAGAGATAGACAGTGTGTTAATCTGTGGTATTCACTTCACTGATCTTGTGTTCACAGTCCTCCTCATCCTCTCAAGAGCGTCTCCACCAGCTTCCATACCAGCCGACCCAGGACGAGCTGCACTTCCTGTTCAAACACTTTCGCAGCACAGACTCTATGACTGATGAAGACGGGCGGCCAGCCACTGTTATTCGGCCACGCTCTCGGAGTCTCAGGTGAATATGGGTTACTTCACTTCAAACGCATACTTGCGTGCGTATTATTAAACCTTTCTGTCTACATGGAGACCAAACCAGACCAAGTTATAGGTCAGAATTGTGGATCCGCTTACAGTCAGAATGCCGGTTTTTCTATATATTTTGTTCAGTAAAACCACCTCTTATTGAATAAATATAAGCTAGATCTGTTTAATGTCATATTGTTAATTAATTAATCATTGCATTTATATAGCTCCTTTCAAGTCACCCAAAGTTTTTTACAGTACAGTATTCATTCACTCCACACTCCACAGCTGCCCTGGGGCAGACTGACAGAAGCAAGGCTGCCAATCTGCGCCATTGGCTTCTCCGACCACCATCACTCAGGCACACACCACTTTCATACTATTGTGGATCATTCAAAGCAGAGCCAAAGCGCACATCCATAGAAACAAACCCCAAAGCTGCACCATTAAGGCTAAACTTTATTGGGTCATAAAGTTTTTTGTTGTTCTGTAAAGAGCTTGTTTGTTGCAAACTGTTAACTGAGAGTGACCAACTCAAAGAGACATTTGGTGTCCTGTAAACAGGCGGCTGATGGCACATGTCTGGCGGGCAGGTGGAGATGACTCCAGAGCTCTGTGCTTTTAACAACTCGAGTCTGTTGGCTCTGTCTGAACCCTGTTTGTGCGATGCCTGGGTGCGCAGTGTTCTGGCGCCATGGTGCGCGGTGCGTGGGTGTGCTAGCTAACAGAGCCTCAGGGAGAGAGCTGCTGAACTGTAGTCAAGGTTGGGGGTGGTTCAGGAAAAACATGGCAAGGGTCTGATGAAGAGAGCCACAGCAAACTGCTGCAGAGCTGTTGGAGCCCAGCCATCATCAGAGAGACATTTTTCATGATGAGAACGGCTTCTGGGGCCTGTTTGCATGTGATAGTCTCTTCCATCTGTGCTGCTTGAAGCTTCATCAAACGGTATTTTTACAATAATACATCTGTGTCATTGGCCTAAATACACAAGTGATGCAGCAGATGACTGTTTGAGCTGTGTTGGTGTTTAAGCCTCTTTGGCCAAGAAATCCAACTAAACCCATCAAAATAAATATTCACCTCTGAAACTTTGTTTCAGTCAATTCACTAAACATTGGGACAAACCTTCCCTAGTGGTCATCTTCTCTGGTCACTTAAATTCTCCAACACCAATGGCTTTGTCATAACTGGATACTAGATCTACATAAATTTTTTAAATTTATTTTTAATGAATTGTCTTTCCTCTTCAGCCCCGGGCGGTCAAGTGTCTCCTATGACAACGAGATAGTGATGATGAACCATGTTTACAGAGAGCGTTTCCCAAAGGTACAAACTTTTTTCTATTGTACAGTACTTACAATAATGGAAGTAACATGTATTTGTAGAGCGCCAGGGAGCAGCTCACATGGTGCTTCACAGATTAAAAATATTCTTATTTAAGGACCTGTATCCGATTATTTTCCCACGTATTTAAGCAAAGTTCATCTTGCCCCAGTACAGATATATTGTACAAGCAGCAAGCTTGAGGTAAAAATAAAATATTCCATCTGTGTAATTATAAAACATTTTATTGTCTGATAATCAGGAAGTGCCCTGCTAGCATGTTAATTGTTGCTTTAGTAAACTCTGCTCTCATCTCTGAAAATTGTGAAATGTCCTTATAAACTCATCATGGGCAATAATTAGGAAATGCATAAAATAAGCAAAGAATAATTTTGGAAGACGGCAACCTGTTTTTCAAGTTTTTAAGATCGTAAAAATCTGGTATAGCTCCTTCTAATAAAATCTGTAAAATGCAAAAACATTATAAAACACAATACAATCAGAAAAGACACCAACATTTCCAAAAACTCAAATGTCTCTTCTGTATGTGTGTGTTTTCCTTGCAGGCCACAGCCCAGATGGAGGAGCGCTTGTTGGAGATCGTCACCCATTGCTCTCCAGACAGCTCCCTCCCTTTGGCCGATGGGGTCCTGGGCTTCATCCAGCACCAGTTGGTGGAGTTGGCCAGAGACTGCCTGGACAAGTCGCAGAAAGGCCTGGTGACTTCATGCTACTTCGCTGAGCTGCAGGAGAAACTGGAAAAGCTACTTCATGAGGTTGAATAATAGTCATGTCCTCTCACATGTTTAAGAGTTATAATGTTATTTCACCTTGAACATCAGTTATTGAATGCATGGCCTTCTGAGTAGGGCTGAGAGAGAGAGATAGAAGGATGGATGGATAGATAGATAGATAGATTCATAGATTCATCATTCATTTATCAGTACTTTTAGAGCAAAAATATAACACATTCTTTACTCTGAAACATTCACTCATGATTTACTTTCAACTTTCAAATTACAATAAATATTTTTAACTAACTACTACCAACTACCTGTTAACTGAAACTTATTTTTAAAATATTGAATAATAAGTAGCTTATTAAAATTTTGGACATTACAGCAGTTGGCTTTATTTCACACAGTGGTCAAAATATAAGGAGCTGTCTGAGTGTGTGATAGTTGGAGTCATACATAATCCAATAGTGGAATTTGTCAATATTTTTGAAAAGTACCTTTGTCATAAGTCGTATCTCTGTTGTGTTAAAATGTTAGTTACTATAGCAACCCTTTCCCTGTTTCTCTGCATACTGTCAGACAGAAGGCCTTACCTCCAGCTGAACTGATCAGTTTGTTCCCATGCAGTCACTCAAGAGCTGTCCTCCATTTTGGGGCCTATGTAAACACAGAGGGTCATTGCCTATTAAATAGTTTTTTAGTGAGATAGGATAGAATAGAGGCCATTACACTGGTTCATGCATGTAGTTTATACTTTTTTTAATTGGAGTCTCATTATGTTGGTAAGAAATGTGAAAGTACACAACTGAACCAACACACCAAACTGGCTTACATTTTTTCAACTAAAGTATGTTTGTATCTTCACTAGGATTTTGTCAGTTTTAGGTGTGTAACTCTGTTCAAATTACTGTGATAAAATAAAAGTTAGTTTCATTATTATTCATGATTACTGACACCATAACACAACCACAGTTAATTTTCTTTCATTCACATTGTTACCTTGAACCTTGTCTAATCGGATCACCACTCCTTCATGGTCTGTGATCAGCATTATAAAACCAATCTGGCATAAACACATAGATAAACATCTATAAGCAAGATAAAAAAAAAAAACACTTACAGTACAGACTTAATAGAAATTACTTATTTTTTTACTCCAAAATTCTCACAGTTATTATTATGACTTCTTGTAGGTGTAAAGAAAACATCACAATTAAAATTAATTACAAATAAATCAGCTTAACAATTTTGACATGCCTAGTTAATCATTATAAATTCACTGACTCATTCTTTACACTTTAATCTGAGCTTTATTTCAACATAATCTGACCCTAAAGAACTGGTTTAGTTGGAACTACGACAGGTGACCTGATTCTTAAAAAAGTCTCTCACACGTAAAATTTTGGAAGTGTTTTTTCAGTTAGTCACTGTCACCTTTTTGTTGAAAATCAAAGACCTAATCAGGTCCATGAACACTTGTTTTGACCACAGGCTCCTATGTTATTGTTGTTTGAATCCATTCTGTATTTTTTTATTGTTGCTATCTGTTTGCTAATGTGTGCATTGTGTCACAATGGTAACCGAAGAACATTCTGCCATACACATATATGTAGAACACCCCCAGTATGACGTCACTGCATAGTATCAATAGCCAGCCACTGTAGCTAAGAATGAGCCATCACTTACACGACACCTGGTCATTATTATTTTATCATATTGTGTTTAGATGTTGTCTCTGTGTTTTTACTTCCACTTGTGGTTCATTGTTATCTCCATCACCTGAGTACTCCATGTCCTGTTCTACACTATCACTACATACCACAAAGTACCTCTGAACACAGCCCTTATTTAGTGAGTGTCTGACATAACAATGTGACATGGGAGGGTGATATAGGCTCTTCTAGTATTTATAGATTGCATAAGCAAAAAAAAAACATGTGCATTTATTGTTTGCTTCCTGTTTTGTTTTGTCTAGGCTTATGAGCGTTCTGAAAGTGAAGAGGTCAGCATCATCATTCAACTGGTCAGAAAACTCCTCATCATCATCTCAAGACCAGCTCGCCTGCTTGAATGCCTTGTAAGTTAAACAAACAAATATTAAACACACTAAAAGGATAATGAAAAGTGTATGTGAGTGACTCATTTAAGGATGCAACACCACAACCCTCACAGTACAATGGATATGAGTGATGCAATACACACACGTCACCATTTCAGTGCTTTAATCGTGCCAATAGACTGTAAATATACTCCCATTAGGATCTCCTTAAAGGTGCACTGTGTAACTTTTCTGGTAGAGGGTCCACCACCTGCTTGACTCCATATTGTATTTTCCTGAAATGTTCTACAGTATAGCACTGAATTTAACTCCATGGAGACTAGCAAGCCACATCACCAGGCTAACTTACAGGTCTGATCTATGGAAAGGTGGGCCTTCTTACAGTAATAATTAGGGATGTAACAATAACCATAATATTGTGATATAGTATCCTCAAAGTTCTCACAATAATATCGTGGACCATCACAATATATATCGAATTTCAAGTCTCTTTGAGCTATAGTGCAGCAATAGCTTAAAAAAAGACAGAAGGAATTACATTGACCATGATCCTTTGCTCCATTTCAGTGTAGACTACAAGAAGAAATAACAGCTCTAAGCACATTTAAGTCTTAGTTCTTTGGATTAAATCTTGTCAATGCATTTTAAGAGAAAAAAGTAGCATATTCACAGTTTTGTTAGCTCCACGAGATATTGCAATAAATATCGTACAGTGAGATGTATATTGTGAAAATATTGCGTAAATATTGCAACAGATTTGGATATTGTTACATCCCTAATCGTGAGCCTCCCCACCAAATCGTAAATATTATACCGTGAGGTTCATACCGTGACAATATCATATCGTGAGACTTGGATATTGTTACACCCCTAGTAATAATGCATGACTTTACGTTAGTTTGAGGAATAAAAACACCTTGAATAAATAAACGATATATACATGTATATGTTTAATTCTATACTGTGAAGCATCCCAGGCAATGCAATGACATCACTATGGGACAAGCAGATGGCAGACCTTCCACCAGAAAGGTTACATAGTGTACCTTTAAGGACCTTCAAATCAGCTTTGTCTGGATGAAATTTAGTAATAATATCAAATTCTCAGGCCTTTTTTGTATACAGACAACTAAGAATAATTGCTTGATCGATTATTAAAATAGTTATTAGTTCCAGTACTATCCCAGATCCATTTAATTGATTTCTTTACAGGAGTTTGATCCAGAGGAGTTTTATCACCTTCTCGAAGCAGCAGAAGGTCATGCCAAAGTTGGACAAGGTATCAAAACTGACATTCCTCGGTATATTATCAACCAGCTTGGGCTCACAAGAGACCCTCTTAAAGGTAAAATCCCTTTGCAAATAACAGTATCCTTTCCTGTATTTAAAGTAAAAACACATTATTATTCTCAATCCTTTTGTAGAAATCCAACTGGAACAGTTTGATGCCAGTCCTACGGCGTCTGCTGAACCAGAGCCTACTGCAGAGGTAAAAATTCGTGCTGTGAATCACTTTATATTTTAAGTGTTAAGTGCTAATCATAATGGTATTATACTGTCAACTCTTTAATTTTTCTTTGTAGAATAAAGCGCCGCAAACCTTGACCCCAACAAGAAGAAAACCTCTTGAAAGTGATTTTGAGACCATCAAACTTATAAGCAATGGTGCCTATGGGTAAGCCAAAAATACAAGTAGATAAAATTTACATTGTACTGAAGTTTAAAGGCATAACTATGTAATTTTGATCTCCAGAGCTGTGTATCTGGTCCGTCACAAAGAGACACGACAGCGCTTTGCAATGAAAAAGATAAATCGTCAAAATCTGGTCTTGAGGAATCAGATCCAACAAGCTTTTGTGGAACGGGACATTCTGACATTTGCAGAAAACCCGTTTGTTGTGTCAATGTTCTGCTCCTTTGAAACGCGGCGTCATCTCTGCATGGTCATGGAGTATGTAGAAGGTAATAATAGTTTATAATAGTATATATGTCCAATACTGTGATTGTCCGAGTCTGTTATATAGATGAAAAATAATGGGGAAAGGCCTTTCAAATGTATTCATGTTTTTCCAGGTGGAGACTGTGCCACTTTGCTCAAAAACATGGGCCCCCTCCCTGTAGAAATGTCAAGGATGTACTTTGCTGAAACAGTTTTGGCTCTGGAGTACCTTCATAATTATGGCATTGTGCATCGAGATCTCAAACCTGACAAGTAAGTGTGCAAAAGGAGTTTGTAACAAGCCAACATATTAAAGGGTGTGACTCAGTTGACCTGTACTTCACGCACACTTGATGGCTAACTACTGTTCACTGTTACATTGTGCTATTTTCTCCCACTAGTCTGTTAATTACATCCATGGGGCACATCAAGCTCACTGACTTTGGCCTGTCTAAAATTGGCCTTATGAATATGACCACAAACCTCTACGAGGGTCACATGGAGAAAGACACAAGAGAGTTTATTGACAAACAGGTGAGAGGAGACACTCGTGATGAGAAGCAAATCTGGTGAACTTTTAATTAAATAACGTGTCATTGTTTCTTTGTGCAGGTCTGTGGGACTCCGGAGTACATCGCTCCAGAGGTCATCCTCCGTCAGGGATACGGGAAGCCTGTGGACTGGTGGGCCATGGGCATTATCCTCTATGAGTTTCTAGTTGGCTGTGTACCATTTTTTGGTGACACTCCTGAAGAGCTTTTTGGTCAAGTTGTTAGTGGTAAATAATGACTTGTATTTCTTGTTTGTAATAGTATTTTTTTAAGATTAAAGAAACATGTTTATAATAGATACTGTATTTACTGTTCATTCTTAGATGAAATAGTGTGGCCTGAAGGTGATGATGCGCTGCCTGGAGATGCCCAGGATCTCATCACTCGCTTGTTAAGACAGAGTCCGTTAGAACGACTTGGCACTGGTATATACATGTGCAATTTTCAGGCATTTCTGCTTTCATAGTAAGTGAAAGATATATTTGATTATTTACAAAGTCCATCTGTAACTGTAGGTGGCACCACAGAGGTGAAGCAGCATGCGTTCTTTCTGGGTTTGGACTGGAATGGGCTCCTGAGACAAAAGGCAGAGTTCATCCCTCAGTTAGAGGCAGAGGACGACACCAGTTACTTTGATAGTAAGCTACCAATTTTTCTTCTTTTTCTCTATTTACTATTAATTATATTTGCTTATATTTAGCTCGTTCAGAGCGCTACCATCATTTAGCATCTGATGAAGATGAGGAAACCAATGATGAAGAGTCCTCTTTAGAGATACGCCAGTTTGCTTCATGGTCCAATCGCTTCAGTAAAGTAAGAACCAGATCACTTAGATTTTTTATGACGTTAGTAGAACTTGACTAAAGTATATTTGTTTTTTAGGTTTACAGCAGCACAGAATATCTGGCTACACCGTCCAATCTGAGTTTCTCATCAGATCGAAGCCACAGTGAGGAGAAAGAGGACCGGCCTGATGCAGTGCTCAGTCCCTCTCAGGCTCCAGCAGAGGGCACTATTGAGCGAAGGCACTCAGGACGCATGGCCAGGTAACTACATGAAATTAAACAGTAAATAGAAAAGTGTTTTGGCCTTTGGACTAAATCACATGTCTGTGTACAGCCTTCGCCCCAGGGCCTCCTCCAGTTCTTCCCAGTCTGAGAGGAGCACGAGTCCTCTGGTGATGAGCAGCACCCACAGCTTGGAGACAATGCCTCGTTTTGCACTCTCCACTGACGATGAAGGTAACTGTTATCTGGTCATCCTTAAATGTCTAATTATACTTTGCAATAAAAAAGGTACTAATAATAAATTTTTTGATCTTGGATGTAGCTGAAGTGGTTGTGTCAAACCTAAGGAGGATTCGAATCCGTAGCAACAGCACTGGAGGCAAACACTCGTCTCCCAAAGATCCCACTGGCCCTCGGAGATTTGGAAACCAGCTGGAAACCCCAGACAGACAAAAACTTCCATGTGGAGGAAAAGTCCCTAAATCAGCCTCAGTGTCTGCACTCTCTCTCATTATCACACCTGGTACTTCTATATACTTCCATTTATATCTGTGTTTATGTCTCAAACTTGTGTGCAGGTTACACGTGTTTGTTATTTACAGATGATACTCCCACTGGTCTTCAGCCAAGTCCCATTTCCCCGCGCTCTTTGTCCTCCAACCCCTCGTCTCGTGACTCTTCCCCCAGTCGAGATCTGTCTTTCAGCCCTGGCAGTCTGAAGCCCCCCATCATCATCCACACCTCAGGGAAGAAGTTTGGCTTCACTGTGCAGGCCATCCGCGTGTACATGGGTGACAGTGACGTGTACACAGTGCATCACATGGTGTCGGTAGGAAACCCCTTTTCTTTAGAGAAGCTTTAAAATAGACATATTATGCAATTCAACTTTTATGAGCTTTTAACTGTGTTAGAATCCTGCTCCCTTATCATTAGTTTACATTAGTTTCCTCAGAGTTGTATTTAGATATATTCATGCATGTTTGAGTATATGTTGCTGTTAGTCTGTGTTGCTGTGTTCACCTACCCCTTATCTCCACCCACTTGCCCGATACTAATTTGTGTTTATTACAAGAATAATAAACACAAATTAGTATAAGTCAAATCTCTACTACTACTACTACTACTACTACTAATAACAATAATAATAATGATAATGATGGTAACGATAACGATAGCATTGTGTTTTGATTTTTTTAAATTGATATGGCACTGACCCTAAATTTTCATCATTCCGAAGAGGCTTATCGATTCCACTTTTTAACTGGAAGTCAATGGTCCCATGTCTACTATTAAGCTGTGACAATGAACAAAAAAAAAAAGTTGATCTGTGTTTGTTTATTGTTTATTACTAAGTACTATAAAAAACTTAATATGTCTTCTTTAAAGTAGTCTCAGGACTATCTCACTGAATATCACACTAATGCTGTTACAGAGTGTAGAAGAGGGCAGTCCAGCTCACCAGGCAGGTCTGTGTACGGGGGATCTTATAACATATGTGAACGGAGAGTCTGTTCAAGGCCTAGTTCATCCAGAAATGATCGAACTTCTGCTGAAGGTAAAAGCTATATATTATTAATTCCACCCACATACTGTACATTGTTTTATTGGCTCTATCATCTATGCTGTTCTTAATATTTTGCAGAGTGGAAACAAAGTGGCCCTTCAGACAGTTGCTCTGGAAAACTCCTCAATTAAAGTGGGGCCAGCTCGGAAAACCAAACACAAAGGAAAGATGGCACGACGAAGTAAGAAGAGCAAGAGGAGAGACAATTATGACAGGTCAGAAAACACTTTCATGGCACCTGCTGTAGCTGTAGCTGTAATTGTATTCTCTCAACCATCACATACTCATGCAGGCAAATTTGTGAGCTTTAAGCCATATTATAATGTTGTTACGTCATCAGAAACATACCTGGAGTTGTGTTTTGTTTCGTTCACACATGTTGAGTAGACTGGTGTCATTATTCTGTCTGTATCTCCAAAACTCAAAATGCTCTGTTCCAACTTGTCCAACATGTCCTGAAGCAGTAGTTTTCAAGTTAACAGCTACTGTATCTTCTACCTTTTATTCAGTAGAGATTTCCAGGGCTGAAATCATCCAAATGATTTTATTGAAGGTGTATGGAGTTTAAAAACACAGTGGTGGAACAGTTTTCTTTGTTTTATTGTGTGAAAGAAACAAAACACTGTTCCAGGTATGTTTTTGGTGAGGAAACAGCATTATAACATAGATTTAAAAAATACCATTATATAAAAAGACATTTTAAAAATAATTTTATTTCTGTATTTGAATGTTTTTTGTTTTTTTTTTCTTCCCTTGCACATACTATATTTTTATATCCTGTTCTTGATAATTAGATTTACTACATATGCTTATGTATGGGATTATCTGAAGCACTTTGTAACCAACAGTGTTTTTAAGTGGTGCTATACAAATAAAAGTGGGTAGATGTAATTTATATTATTTAACCAGGAAAAAATCCCACTGAGATTAAAAACTTTTCAAAAACTTTTTTAAGTGAATCCTGGCCAGAAGGCATCAGTTTAATTTACACTTATAACATACAAACAACAATAAAATTAAGAAAAACAAATGCACATTATTGAGGAAGTCTCTAAAATTAGTAGTTAGTAAGGGATAGTACTAAGTAAAAGTAGTGTCTGTCTCCCCCTAGTGTTGTATGTTGGAAATCATAAAACACTAACACCTTTTTTTGTTTTTATTTACTTTACTTTGCTAATATGATTACCTTATACTTATTATAAATATCCTGTTTGCTTCAGACGAAGAAGCATCTTGAAGAAACTGTCCAAGCAGAGCACCGTGATGCACAGCAGTCGTAGTTTCTCCTCTGGTCTCCATCACTCCGTCTCCTCCAGTGAGAGTCTCCCAGGCTCTCCCACCCACAGCCTCTCCCCAGGCCCCTCCACACCCTGCCGAAGTCCTGCTCCTGACCACCAGACGTTTGGTAAGATTTTAAAGGTGCATGGTGTAACTTTTCTGGTGCCAAGTCTACCACCTCAAATGCGATTGTTCTTATTGCCTTGAAAAACATGCATTTTTACAAGATTAGGAATATTTAGTTTTTTTGTCAAATTAATAAATTTTCAATCTATATCAGACAATATGGGTAAGAATGCCAAAACTTGTCATAATACAGGTAATACACAAATATTATTTTGGAGACATTTTACAATTTCAAAGATAAGAGTTTGTATGGCAACTGACTTTTTGTCAACATTCGGAAATCCACGGATAGATGAAGAAGAATAATAAATCATTCATTCTTACTGTGAGTGCCCACACCTCTTCACATATCTGACCAGTAATTAGGCCCTGTTGCATCATTTGCTTGTCTCTTTAGAGATATATAATTGAATACCATTTGTACAGTTGACAGATTTCCTTTTTTTCTTTTGCTATGGATCCTACTGGGATAACTGAGGGATTACACAGACACCTTTTAAACATAAATAACAGATATCCAGATGGAAACTATTTATAAACTTTTTTTCTTTTTCCAGACAACCACTCTCCTCAGAGCACCTCTCCTTGCTCTAGCTCTCCCAGTTCCCCGGCTACGCACATACGCCCAAGTTCACTTCACGGACTGAGCTCCAAACTGAGCACACAGAGATATACTAAAGTTGGCCGACGCAAGTCCACAAGCAACATCCCCCCTTCCCCTCTGGCCTGCACCTCTTCGTCTTCCACTCAACCTCTTTCTCCGCAGCGGTCACCCTCTCCTTTGCCTGGATTTGCAAAGTCTTTTCATGCGTATCATGGCAAAACACTGTCTCCGCCCACTATTGTCCGACATGTCCGACCTCGTAGTGCAGAGCCTCCTCGATCCCCACTGCTCAAGAGGGTGCAGTCTGCTGAGAAACTATCTGGTGTCTATCATGTGGATAAAAAGTCTTACGCCCCCCGCAGGCATACTTTGGAAGTGCCTTTTTACGGAGAGGCGGATCTTCTCGGGGACTCAGAGGCGGAAGGAGCTTGCGGTGGTGGTGGTGGTGGTGGTTACCTAGCGAATGAACACAGCAGACTGGGGAGCTACATCACTGGACAGAGAATAAGAGACTCAGGTTTGGACAGATCTGAGCAGCTTGTTGTAATGCGCAAACTCAACTTATCCGAAAGGCGAGACTCATTTAAAAAGCAGGAAGCGGTACAAGAGGTGAGCTTTGATGAGCCTGAGGAGAAAACCTGCTCTACCCCAATTACCTCCATTAATCAGACCCAAACACAGCCCCAGCACGCCTCCTACAGGCCATCCCTGTCACTGGGTCGCACGCAGAGCAGTGTGGAGGTCGAGCTGGAGGTCCCGGTCGTCCGCAGGTTCACTCTAGTGCCTCAGATCGCGGTACAAGGTTCAACTGAAAGTGAAGGACAGGACGAATGGGAGCCGTGTTCAGATGGAGAGGATTCCAATGAGAACGCAGAGCTAGAGGTGGAAACATCAGTGCAGAAACTAAATATTATCAGTAACAAGAAGACTGAAGACGCCACTCAAGTTATAGAAGCAACAGAGATGAAAGAGAAGAGAGAGGAGTCTTTACAAAAACCACATCTGAAGAAATAACGCACATTATCTCTCTTGTCAAAACTCGTATTTACCCTCCAAATGTAACACAAAAGTTGTTAAGGGAAATCTCAAAGGTGTTCAGTCTGTTACACAAACTTGAGAGAGTTGTAAGCTATTTTCCTTGTGTGTAAGCGTAAGAGTGAATGCTCAAGTGAGACTTTTGTTTACTTGAATTTTTCTATTGTAAATACCTGCTCGAAGGCTTTGTGTATTATTTATTCAATTAATCTGACTCTTGAGTTAGAGAGGCAGGGTATGTGGGATGTTCTCATTGGTCAAAGAGCCAAAACTAAACATTTTGTATTCGTAAAATTGTGGTTTACGTCTTTTGACTGGATTTTTAAAGATAAATGTCTATTTTTTACATGAATTGCTGAAGTACATAGATGTTTGTCAACGCTGGACTGAATTTGCTGCTGGACCAAAAGGTACCATGTGTAGATATGATAGTCTAATTTTTCGATATGTCTTAAATCTGAATTTACAGCTTCCAGTGTTTTGTATCTAGCCACATTTTTGATGATCAGAAAAAATGGGGCACACAATGTCAACATTTTTTGTCAACAATTTATTTTTTCTTTATAGACACATTTACTAATTTACTAATTTGAAACATGGAAAATATTTGACTATTTTTCATACTCAGCAACATATTTAAAATCCACATGCAGGTTCTTCCACTCTTCTTAAAGTGCCCCATTGTTATTCTGTTTAGTTAGGTCAGACTGGGGTTGAGTTGTCCCAATATGCTGTGTCATCATAGCACGTTGTCTGTGCCATATCATTGGAGATGCTAATGCTAAGCTAGTGTGGCAAGTTATTTGATATTCTACCACAAGTTCATTAGAGACATAATTTAAAGCAGTTTTCAGAATAACATGCAGGGAAACTAAAAGGTGCACTCTGTAACTTTGTTTCTTGTCTCCATAGAGATGCTATTGCTTTGCCTGGAAAGTTCCTCAATATATCTTGTGTTTATTGAATTACAGGTATATTTATTGCTAAGAAATTTCTTTTACATTCTTACTGTGAGTGGAGTCACCTCTCATCAGATCTGACCTTTAACTTGGCCTCACAGCATACCTGCTCGTCTCCATTGAGATAAGTTTAATGGTATATTGTGGAAAATTCTTGACAAGACAAAGCCTCTCCATAGTAAGAAGAAGGTGGCGGACTCTCTGCCAGAAAGTTACGTAGTGCATCTTTAAGGTTATTCTCCAAGTGAGCCACAATCTATATAAAATTTCTGAGAACAATACAGACAGGCGACAGTTTTCATATAAGCAAGTGTCAGAGTTCTCCTTAACCTGCAGTGTATGATGTTTACAAGAGAAATGTGCACTAATATATTTCTACATAACTTTTGTATTGTCAAAGAGAGACACCAGACCCAGGGCACCTTCAAACTGTTACAATCTATGTCTTTATTTTCATCAGATATTGATGTATATTTTGAAGCTAAATTGACTTCCAAAAATGTTAAGAAGGATATGCACATGGGGGGTGAATCGATGTATGTTTGGGTGGGACTCTTTGGTAGATCAGTATTTTCTATATAGCACGAATGGATGTAAGTGGTTTCCTATCCACAGTGCACATTTGTTTAATCAGTGACTTTTGCTGCATTTTGTACTGTTTTTTTCTCCTTCAAACTACAGTCTACTGTTCTGTCTTGCAAAGTCTTGTCAGTTAAAAGCACGGCAAAATATATAATGTAGATACAATGTGAGCTATTTTTGCAGGTTGCCAAAACGTTTACACTGAACAAATACATGTACTGTACCAACATTTTATATCTACTGTGGTTGTATACTTATGTATGTTCTTTGTTACCACAAAAAATAACAGACAAATGCTTGTTTTTGTTCTCTAACAGTTATAATTTAGCAACAAACTGACTTGTTCCAATTTCAAAACCTTTTGAAATGTGAAGTAGCCAACAAAACATTTTCATTCATTTTTGTTTGTTGTTTTTAAAGGTGCACTGTGAAACCTTTCTTACTGAGGTTTCAGTACCTGCTTTTCTATATGGAGATGCCATTGCTCTGTCTGGAATGTTTTGCAGTGCAACATTTAACTGATCTATCTCCATGGAGACAAGAAGGTATGTCTAGCAGCCCAAGTTACAGCTCAGATCTGTGGAGATTTTAAGCAGTAAAACACCTGTAATTGAAGAGATGCGGGGTAGATAAATTTAATCCCATACTGCAGAGCATTCCAAGTTAAAGCAATGTCCTCTCTATAGACATGTAAATGGCACACCCTCCCACCAGGAAAGTTACACAGTGCCCCTTTAAAGGAACTACACTGTATTTGCAAACATAGAGTTCCTGGCCTTTGTTGTGTGGATGTTTAGTTGGTTGAGGTTCAGTTTGTGTTGTATTGTCACACTTGAGTCTGTGCAGGTCAAACTTTGGTATGCGTGCATGTGTTCTCTGGACACGTCTCTTCGGTGCATGCTGCATGACACAAGCACACTTCTGTAATACTTGACTGCATGGTATATCGGCGTCGGTGCCCTGTACTGTGTTTTCTTGTGAAAAGGAATAAAATTTGTATTTCTTGGATTTAGGTCTGAGTGTTTTGTTGTATATAGTACTGTATTCTGTTTTTATCAGAGGTGGGTAGTACTAGGTTTAAGGTACATTTTGTGTATTAAAATAAGTCTACTTTTCAAAGTAGACAATATATTTTTACTCCTACTTAAGTCATGTATTTTACAGTGTAGTAGCACTCTTACTTGAGTAAAAGTTGTAATGATCTATTGTAAATCTAAGAGACAAAAGTTTGAGCTTGCATTATTAAGTGATTTGAACACTTTCAGGTATGAGTTAGTAGTTCTCCTTTTAAGGTCCATTCATTAATTATTATTTTGTACATTATTTTAGGTTTTGTCCTTTTATGATATTAACTTAAAATTAAACAATTTATGTCAGGACTATTAGTCTTAAAGTTACACTTGCTTGAGCACTAGTTTCTCCAAAACCACTGTTCTTACTTGTGTAATTTGGATGACTACTTTAACTTGGGTAATATTATTTTAAAGTTTATGTCTAGTAAAGTGTATGAAAACTCTATCCCCTTTTATTATGGGATAGACCTAAATCTATACCTTAGTTTAATTAGAATCACTACTAGACCTGAATAAAGGGATCATTTCCAGCACCATCTTATTACTACACAGTTGTACCTCTTGTAGACCAGTAGGCGTCGCTAAGTGCAGACAAACACTGTGCAGCTGATCCTGAAGAAGCCGGACCCGTGCCCTTCACAACAGCAAACATGGCGACTGCCACCAAAATTATCCAAAGGTTGAGAAATCTCCTGTCTGGGGTAAGTTCTAATCGACTTTATAACCTTATGTACAAGTGTGCCAGATATTTAGCAGAAAAGTAAACGAATCTTGCGGTAAGTTGTAGAAACATGCGTGTTCTACCAAATGTCTGACGCTCCAACCAACAAGCAGCAAAAGGCTTCTCATTCAGGCTGCTGTATTTTGCTCTATTTGTCCATTTTTTTTTTAAATATGTACGTGTTCGTTGTAGATGATGTAATAATTAAGTTTGTTTTTCAGCATGATCTGCAAGCCAAACTTCAACTGCGATATGAGGAGATAGCCAAGAGGTAATGATTTCTGCTTTTAAATTATTATTTTTTTAACTAACATGCAGGACCAAAAATACAAGATCAAATACACAACCAAAAGCCATCACACATTTCATACAGGATTAACTTAGATCAGTATGGTTCCTGTGTTAAATGTGTGGAATTAGCCACACTATGGCATTAAACATAGCTAATTGTAAGTTTGCATTGTAAAACATGCATTCTTAGTGTAAGCAGACTTTTTCTGCCATAGATCTAACGAGTAACTGCCTGTTGGTGTTACCTGCTGGTCTCCATGGATATAGATACGTTTAATGCCATAATGTGATACTAATCGGGCAAAGTCTTCCATGGAGAACGGAGGTGCCAGGCCCTCAATCAGAAAAATTACATAGTGCATTTTTACATGTTTTTTCTTTGTTTTTAAACTCCCTACACCTTCACTAGAATCATTTAGATAATTTCAGGCCTGGAATACCTAATCCCTACTAAATAAAGATAAAAGGTAGCTGTTAACTTAAGAGCTACTGCTTTGTGGCATCACAACGTGAAACAGAGCATTTTGAGCTTTGGGCATGTAGATAGATTAATAAAGGGTTACTCAAACGTGTGTGTGAAACAAAAACACATCTCCAGGTATGTTTCTATAATGAGGTAACAGCATTATAACATGGCTTAAAGCTCGTTTTTACCTCCCTTTGCACAATAGCTAGATTTCATGTGGTGTTCTAACTCCTGCATATTTGTATTGAAGCTGCTTGCTGACATTGATGTAATATGTTCTAATCCAAAAATACATAAAACAAAACAAAACCCTGCAATATTTTTAGAAAATGTTGCCTCATAAGGACTTTTCTCACAGGACACAGCCTCCACCTAAATTACCTGTTGGTCCAAGTCACAAGTTTGCAGACAACTACTACTACACTAGAGATGGGCGCAGAGAATCAGTACCCCCCACAGTCGTCATGTCAACACAGAAGGCTCTCACTCCTGGCAGGTAAACAAAGGGAATAACATTCAAATTGATATTCTGAATTGTTATACAGTTTTGTCCAAAATAATAAAGATGTGTTTGCTTTCTGTTTAGTCAAGCAGCTGAAGTCCCTGCAAAGCATCCTGTCACCCCAGGCCAAGTGTATGTGCCACCTCCACTGTCTACAGACCAGCCATACCTCTGATCAGACTGGTGAAAAATCTGTCTTCTAAGTTTCTGTATAAAAATGTGAATAAAATGTTATATGTACATTTCTTCTGAGTGCTCATTTCATTTATGTTCTTTGATGGTCCCTGAGGTTTTTGGTATTGATACTTTAATCTGAGCTTTGTTTTAACACAATCTGACCATAAAGAATTGAATTACAAAAGGTGATCTGATTTGTGCTGTTAAACAAGTTTCTCTCACATAAAATATTTAGCTTTGAATTAATCACCTTTCACCTTTTTGTTGAAAATCACCTAAAGAAAAACACCTAAACAGGACAGTGAAAGCTGGTATTGATCACTGCTGCCTGAAAATGTGTTTTTTATCCATTTGTTGTTGTTTTTTTAGTTTTCTTATCTTAAAACGTTTGCGATACATGTAGAACACCCCCAGTGTGATGTCACTGCAAAGAATCAGTGTCACATTTTGCACTCCTATAATGATTAAATGAACTGGAAATTAACATTGAAAATTGTCTATTTAACCCTCACGCTCTCCTCGGGGTCACACTGACCCGAAGAAATGTTTCTTTTTCCCTTCCCGCTCTCTTGGGGCGGGTCAATCAGACCCAAAAATGTAGAAAATAAATTTTTGGGTCTAACTGACCCGCCCCAAGAAAGAGGGAAGGAAAAAATAATAATCTTCGGATCAAAAAAAACCAAAAAAACAATTACCTTCCATTTTTCCAAAACTCTGTTCAAGTACTGATCCGCACACTGAAAAAAATAGATGCATACATTTGTATTCAGTTTTGAAAGTTGAAAATGGTTGCTTCTCCATGTGTTTAATAACGCAGCACACAGTATTTTGTCTTTTTAATCGTCACCAAAGTCGTTAAAATGTCGCCTCTGAACATGGAACTGTAATAAGATCCGTAAAGCTGCAATCCAGAAACAGTAGATTAATTATGTGACACAAACCACAAGAGCGCCTTGACACTATTAATAAAATGATAAAAGTGGATACAGTTGGTCGTCGCTTGTTGCATTCTGTCAGTGTAACCATATATCTCTCACAAATAATAAAAGCAGAATAAATAAATAATTTACAGGCGAAGATCAAAACTATTTGAACGTGTTACGTCATCTTTCCGCGCCGCGTGTTTTGGCCGTGGAGGACATCGAGCATGGGACACCTTGGTGCTTTATTAGTTGTGTATCTTTTCGTGCTTTCATGGGATCGTATCCTAGGTATGGCAGAAGTTTCACATCTAGAAAAGCAATGGAAAACAAATGCATGGGCAAAACAGATAATATGATGTTGATGTATAATATAAAGTAGCCCAGCCTCTAGAGTGGTGCACCATGGGCAGTATGAATGAAGGCACTGTACCCATATGCTCTTTTTTTAGTTCATCTATTTGCGAGTGTTGAATGAATGCATTAATGTTATTCGGACAGTAATGTAGGGAACGAGCATAGAAAAAACATAGATATAATAATAATAATAATAATAATAATTTAAAAAAACAACATAAACTTTCTTTTCTATAACAATAAACAAAAGTACATGTCATGCAGGGTTTATTTGTCTCCGAAAAAAATCGTTTCGTTCACCTCTTGTAATGCTCGCGTCTGAGTTATATTTCTGATCAATCTGTAAACTGAAAAATTTTATTTGTACCATTAGATTATTTAATACTCATTAATAAATATAAAGGAGGAAGTTGACAAGAACCCGGCTGCCATGAATATATGCGTCCAACACTGGTTATGTTTACACCAAAATCTGATAATCATCTGATTTCTGGAATTATCACATTACTGAAATGTCATTCAAACATTTACATCTGTTGTGAGTAATTTGATTTATTTCAGGCTGTTCAAATAATGATGAAATTTATGGGGAAAAAATAAAATAGATTAAAATTTGTTGTACTTTGTCTTCCAAATACAAATGTTATTCTAACTACTGACTGATTACCTGATAAACGTTGCCTGGTGGTTTTGATTATCAAATTTCTTTTGAGCATTTAAAGCTACCAAAATGGGATCCTGTCTGTCCTTACACTATAAACATTTCTCTCTATACAGTTAAATGTTTCCTGTATCTTATGTGTTATAGGTGCCCTGGACCCCCCTGTCTGTCAGGCCGGGAGACAGTTCAGGTGTGACAATGGTTTGTGCGTCTCTAGACTCAGTGTGTGTGATGGTCAGATACAGTGTAAAGATGGATCAGATGAACGAGAATGTGGTGAGCCTCATGTTAACACAGCCTCTCTCTTTTGTTCTTGTACACAGCAGGCCATGGTTTAGGTTTCATGTGTGTTAAGGGTTGAAACAATATACAGTATATAAGTAAAACATGAAGCTAATCTACTTTTGTGTGTTGCATGTAATGTGGATATTTTTCAGTTACAAACCTTTAGTTTCTATGGAGAAATAGCATTACACTTTTAATCTCTTAATCTATTGTAAACCTTTTGGGCAATGGTATATTGTATTTGAAGAGTTTTCAACTTTCAGGGTAGTATGTATATTTACTAGAATGTACATAAGTAAACAAAATAAATTTTTACTTTCTAATTTCCTAACAAATTGCCTTTTTTCAAAGAAGCCTGTAGAGAAGCATGAAATCTTACACATATGTAACTTAAGCAAATTTAAATCACTCTCCTGTACAACTCCATAGCCTAGTTGTATTAACACACTTTTACTGCAAGTTAATAGCAAAATGATCTTTTACAGTATTTAAGTTTTGTTCTTGTGGCTCTTCACAGGTGGTCTTGTTTGTAGGAGCAGTGAATTTTTCTGTGACATTGGACATTGTATATCAGTGATGCTCCTCTGTGATGGGGAGGACCACTGTAGTGATGGGAGTGATGAGAGGCTTTGTCAGAACTGCACCTCTGGGGTTTCGTGTGGTCCCTCGGGTCCGTGTCTGTCCAAACATCAGCTCTGTGACGGACAGACTGACTGTGGTGATGGGCGTGACGAGGATAAGAGTGTGTGCGGTGCTCTGAACACTGCGTGTGCCGCTTCGGAGTTTAAGTGTGGAGACGGGAAGTGTATTCAACATTCATACAAATGTGACAACACAGTTGACTGCAGCGATGGCAGCGATGAGGAGAACTGTGGTCAGTGAAATAAATGATCTTATAATATTAGAATTACCTTGTAAGATGTAGTTTTGTCCCATACCCACCAGAGGGCAACATTGTAGCAGAATTATGAATTGGAACACTTTTTTTGAAAAGTTAAAATAAAAGATTACAATGGACTTAAAGAAGGAAGTCCATGCATAATACTTTGTCATAAATGCATGTATTATTGCAGATGTCAACGAGTGTCTGTTCAATAATGGGGGCTGCCCACATGTGTGTGTGGATGAGCCAAAAGGCTTCCACTGTGAATGTCCCAACAACACAAGGCAGGTGGGGGACAGCCACTGTGAAGGTCCGTAAACAAAATTCATATTATACATGCTATTAACTATTAACTATTGCTGTAGTCATTTTGAGAGTGCATCATAAATTTTTTGTCTTGATTATTAAATAACAAAGTATTTATCAAACCCTTTTTCCTTTTAGAAATGAACCCCTGCCTTGAGGCTGATGTATGTGACCAGTTGTGTTTGTACACAAATGACCATCTCACCTGCAGGTGCCAAGAGGACTATGTGAAGGGGTCTGCTGCAGGTGACTGTAAAGCTACAGGTAAACCATTTATCTAAACAGGAAATCTTATTAATAAATAATGCCTTCACAAACACCAATACTTTAATACCTTAAAATAACAATGAAGCATATTTTGTAATACATTTCAAGAAACATGCATTTGCACTTAAGCATGAATTGTGTTTGTCTTGTGCGTGTGTGTCACTCTACATGTGCTTACATCATTCTAACAACATCAAGTGCAAACAAAACAAACGTTCTTCCTCTTTGGTGTACAAACTTTTTTTTTGTTTCTCCTGGTTATATGTAAAATGCCTTATGTATAATATGCTCTGATAATTTAAAAAAAAATGTCTTTCAGGCTCTTTAGCTCACCTGTTGTTCACTGACCTTGGCGGAGTCAGTATATCCAACATCACTGGGTCTGTGTATGAGCAGCTCAAGTCAGCATGTGGAAGTCGGCACGTGACAGTTTTGTCTTCTAATAACACATTATACTGGGCACAGCCAGAAACTTCATCCATATACAGGTAAAACTGTACCAACCTTACAAAAAAGTCAAATCACATTGTGGACACCATTTACATTTTAGATGGATAATATTTTTTTAAGAGATTGTCAAACAGCTATGAAATTACATTGCGATTTGTGTTTATATAAGATATTCACATGTCTGCATGAAGATGTGTAAAGTTTAACATCATGGGTGGGCACACACTCACTTTGTACTGTTGCCAAAACATGGATTTTCATGACATGACATGTGTTTTCGAACAGCTTGTTTTTCCATGTGTCATGCAAAAACAGTTCCTGTTATACTTGCTTTTTCATAGGTTGTCATTTGGTGGAAAGCAGCATAATGCCCAGCGGGTTTTCAAAGCCCCCAGTTCAGTGTCTGGCCTGGCCGTGGATTGGGTCCACAGTTTATTGTACTGGTCCAGTGCAGAGACTGGCTCTGTTCACGTCGGTCTGCTGGATGGTTCAGTGCAGCGCCCTCTACTGACTGGACTAGACAAACCCTGTGCTGTGGTGGTTCACCCTACTCAAGGGTAACGGTTATGTACCTTGGCACTACCTTTTTAAGATGCAGTGTAATGTAGCTTAAAACTATGTTGTTCCTCTTCCTTTACTGGTGTGTCACTTTATTTGCAGGAGTTTAATATATAAAAGCTGTCGTAAAAGTTTACGTAGTATTATGTGAGACATTTCATATTGCAATGTCAACGTTTTCTCTCTTTTTAGGGTGATCTTCTGGGCAGAGTGTGGAAACAATCCTAAAATTGAGAAGTCTAGTTTGGATGGCCAGTACCAAAAGACTTTAGTTAATACTTTAATACATAATCCTGTTGCACTTTCTCTTGGTGAGACAAGATACCATTACAATAAAAATCATGACTTTTCCAAACATTAATAGCTTTATATCTTCTATTTTTAATAGATCTCCCCCGACAACTGCTGTACTGGGTTGATCAGGGACTGAGGCGAATCTCCAGAGTAAATTTAGAGGGTCATTATCGGAAAACAGTGGTAGAGTCGAATGGCTTCCTGGATCAGCCTTTTGGACTTGCCCTGTTTGAGGTCAGATTATTGTTTTTAATCATAAGGAAACATATGTTAACTTTTATTAAACATATTTTTGTTACGCTTTTAGGGTTTTGTATATTGGAGCGATGAAGTGAGTCATTCGATCTGTAGGGCAAACAAGCATGATGGCAGTCAGTTTGAAGTAATCCTGAAAAACATTACATCACCAGGCAGCGTGCTCATTTCCCATCCTGCTCTCCAGCCTAACAGTAAGTCCACACATAACTAACAAAGGAAGTTTGTTTATTTATTTTATTATTTTCTTACATGGAATAAACAAAAATAAAAAGTAGACAAAAATCAAAAACCCTCCCACACCTCAGCCCTCTCTCTACAATACACTCAACTCACATTCAATACATACACACAACATAAAATGGATTTTATTTATTTGTACTGGTTCTATGTAAAAATTCACTGATATTTTACAACAATGCATTTTCTAAGTAGCAGCAGTCTCTCAGTGCCCATAATTCATTCAGTTTTTTTGTCAGTGCAGAAATTTGTCTTTTCCCTATAAAAATTGAAATAGTAAAGCCAAATATATGGTTATTTGTTTAGTTTTATACAATCATTATAAAAAGTATAATTATTCTATGCAAATTCATTCTTTTACTCATCTCGGTTTGACAACGATCAAAACCGTTATTGGCGGATTTCAGATTCTAGAATGTGATGATGTCATACGCCCAAATGGGGGCAAGAGACAGTTAATGACATTGTACTTTGCCATGAAATATCCAAAAGTTAAACTCACAAATGTTGAACCTGGTATTTTCAATTAGTGTCTAAACCCTAGAACTCACTCTGTTACAACATAAGTTTGCATTTTAACAATTTTAACTTTAGCTGCCCCCTTCAGCGTTATTAATATTGTCCTATAGAATGTTATGATTCCATCTGAATCAAGCAATTATGTGCAACAAATTATATTCCACCTATTCTTTTTGCTGCCATAATTTAGATTTTTAGAGCCTTCAGTATTTCGTGGAGGTTCACTTAAGTTTACCGAAAGCACAGGAAATCATCTTTTCAGACTCTTATTGACAGGAGGAACATTCCCACCACGTAAAAGATATTCTTTCTACAAAAGGATGTAGGTGGATCTGGTAGAGAAGCCTTAGATGTTATTTTCTCCTGGGCATGAGGCAGCATGGCATATGCTCAGTGAAAGTTATGGTGAGCCATTTGTTATTGCAACAGCATTTAGAGACTGCATTCCTGGCCAAAGATCACAGGCAGATACTGGAGATTTAAGAAAGTCTGTGCAGTTCTTACAGATTAATAGATGGAACAGAAAGGCCACAGAGTAGTACCAACTGGAGCATAAGCAATTTCCACATTTCAGCTATTTTGTGACATTCCTATCCATGGAGGAAAGTATCGCATGTAATTGTCTTATAGCCTGGTATGATTTAAGATGAAGTGAAATCTTCACTACTAACATAAATGAGAAAGGTACACTCTCCTGTTTGTTCTGTAAAAAGAACGGATACAGTGTTGTAAGTTCATTGAGAAACCAGTTACAGACAGAGTCAAGCCTATTCAAAGTGAAAGATTGTGTTTTGGCTGTTTAAACAGTGGCCATCAATCCAAAGCCTGCAGCCACAGTATGATATGTAGCACATGCTCCAAACGTCATCCTACATGTTTGCATGAAGAAATACAAAGACAACAGACCAAAAAAAGAACCACCTAAACCTGTTGCAAGTGAACAAAAGGAGACCACGCCACGGTAACACAGCCACAAGACATAGTCACAGAGAGCACCTTCAATCGAGTGACTCCTGAAAGCGGTAACACAGAGACCTAGGCTATAGTGCATGTATTCATGTCCACACAAAATGATCCAAGTAAAGGAGTGCTTGTTTATGCTCTGCTAGATACATAGAGTGATTCCTCATTTATTTTAAATGAAGTGGCAGACAACCTGGATACAACCAAAACTCAAGTCAAACTACGCACAATGTCATCAAAGAGAACTACTGTGCCCTGGACGAGACTGGAAGCCCTACAGATAAGAGGACTATTCTCCACAAAGAAACTCACTGTGCCAGTGGTTATGCTTGTGACATTATACCTACAAATTGTAGTCACATTCAAACACCAGACACTGTATTGGCATGGCCACACTTGGAACATCTCGCAGAGCATATTGCTCCACCACTGGACTATGAAATAGGGCTCTTGTTAGGTTACATCTGCCCACAAGCTTTAATGACCAGAGAAAGTGTTTCTGGTGAAGAAAATCAGTCCTTTGCTCAGAAAACAGATTTAGGCAGGAGCATCGTTAGTTACTGTAATTCCAGTGACACGGTCAGACTGAGTTAAACACAAAGCTAAAGAAAGAAGTTAATTACATCTGCAAGACACAAGTAAAAGAGGTAACATTCTCTAATGTAATCAAAGTACTTGAATCAGACTTTACAGAGAGAGCAGTGGAAGAGACAAGCATATCACAAGAAGCCCTTTGCTTCCTAAAAGAAGAAATCAAACACAAGCAGGATGGACATTATGGACCACTGTCCTTCAAAAGTGACAGACCAAACCTTCTAAACAACATGTCAAATGCAATGCAAAGCTTTAAAAAGGACCAAAGGTTCTTCATGGATTATGTAAGGTTTATGGAGGACATCATCACACATGGAGATGCAGAGAAGGTACCAGAGCATGAAATTTGTAATAGTCCTGTCTGGTTTATACCATGCCATGGGGTATACCACCCACAAAAGCCCAGTGAGGTACATGTAGTGTTTGATGCCTCTGCACAATACCAAGATTCTTCACTGGACGAACACTTGCTTACAGGGCCCGACCCACAAATACATTGGTGGGAGTATATATTTTTTTACCAGTTCCATGTTAGATCTCAAGACCAGAACTATTTACACTTTCTATGGTGGGAGCATTGTGATTTAAGCACTCTGCCCTCTGTCTTCTGTCTTCCGCATGAAGGTTCACCTTTTTGGTGCCTTAAAACATCTAGCCACACAAAGTGAAGATACGTTTTGCCCAGGTACAGTTAAGTTCATTCAAAAGAACTTTTATGTAGATGATGGACTTGTTAGCATGATTTCAGAAGAAGAAGCAAGAAAACTAGTCAAAGAAGCAAGAGAGCTTTGTAGCACAGGTAAGAATAAGACCAAATTCATATCAAACAATGAAAATGTGTTAAAATCACTACCCAAAGAAGAGTGCGCTGAAAGTGTGGAAGACCTAGACCTAGCATTTGGAGAGCCACTCCTGGAAAGAGCACTTGGTGTACAGTGTTGCGTGTCTTCTGATGAGTTCCAGTTCAGAATAACAGTGAAAAAGCACCCTTTGACAAGAAGAGAAGTCCTGTGCATAGTAGCTTCAGTTTACAATCCATTGGGATTTGTAACACTGTTCGTCTTAAAGGGGAAGCAAATCCTACAACAGTTATGCCAAGAGAAAGGTGGATGGGATGAACCGTTGTCAGATTAACTCCGGATCCAGTGGGAATCCTGGCTCTAAGATCTTCAGAACGGGTGAGAATTTGGAGATGTCTCTTACCTGCAAACACAGACATTAAACAGTGGGAAGTGTGACTCTAGTTTCACAGGCTACTGGCAGTGTAGTTATCTAAGAACTGTTACATTCAAAGATGATGTTCATTGTGCCCTAGTTCTGGAAAAGACACGAGTCACCCCAGTTACTCACTTCTGTCTCCAGACTTGAGTTAACAGCTGCAGTAGTTGCAGCAAGGACAAGTGTAATGCTCAGAAATTAACTGGAGACAAGTCAATGCCAAAAAGATTTTTGGAATGATTCTAAAGTTGTGTTAGGTTACGTGAATAATGATGCAAAGAGATTCCACATTTTTGTGGCGAATAGGATTTAAAGAATAAAGTCACTCACAGAGTAAAAGTAAACCTGTTGATCATACATCAAGAGGTTTAAATGTTCAGCAGCTCCTGAATTTTAACTGGTTCAAAGGTCCAGAGTTTTTGTGGAAAAGTGAGCAGCCCACTGAAAATGTCCAGGTTACTGAACTCATGTCAAGCGATCCAGAGTTATAAAACCATGCATATGCTCAAAACTAATACACAACAAGGACAGAAAACAATACTACATCGCCCCAAGAGCTGTTTAAGGGAATTTGTGAAGGACTTTAAAAGTGTCACACAAACAAAAGGTAAGGGAAAAAATACAACAATTCAGGACAGATGCAGAACTATTCACATTAAAGCTGGAACACGACAATGCATTTTGCAGAGAAATACAAAATTATTCTCAAGGAAAAGACAGTCTGTACAGCTTGTGTGTCTTATCTTGGAGCTGACCAAGTCCCTTTGTTGATGCATTCTAGGGCAATTTATATTAAGTTTGTAAGCCAGGATCCGTACCGAAGAAAATTCAGTTCCTCACAACTTAATTCTGGACACGGTGGTAGAAGGAATATCTTCTCAATCTTCAGCAATGGCAAATATGGCAAAAGGACAAGAGGAACACAAAGGTTAATGACATTGTTATTCTTGAAGAGAATAATTCTCCAAGGAACAAGTGGAAGCTTGCACCAGTAACAGAAGGAATCCGTGTATCATTCGTTCATTCGTTTTTCAATATAAAACTAAAAATAAGAAAACGAAAAAACAACAGTTTTCTTCGTTATTTGTCTCCAAAACCAAAATGAAAAAAACGGATAACGATTCGTTTTTTCAGTTTTCGATTTTGTGTTTAAATGAAGAATGGAAAAAACGGATAACGGCCGTTTCCCGTTTATGTGACTTCCGTGACTGCGATACCGAACTTTTGCACCGGGTACGTACTGAACTAGGACTGATCCAGGTCCGAGACCAGACCAGGACCAGAGCGGGACTGAGACCGGGACCAGACCGGGACCAGCGCGGACTCCGAGCTTTGACTCCGGGCCTCCACGGGGTCCGAGCCTCAGCTTCGAGCTCCGGCCCTGCCGTGGGCTCTGAGCCTCCGGTCTGGTCCCGGTCTGGTCCTGGTCTTGTCTCGGTCTCGGTCTCAGGCCCGCTCTGGTCCCGGTCTGGTCCCGGTCTCAGTCCCGCTCTGGTCCTGGTCTGGTCCCGGTCTCAGTCCCACTCTGGTCCTGGTCTGGTCCCAGTCTCAGTAGCGCTTTGGCCCCGGTCTGGTCCCGGACCTGGTCCATTTGAACCAAAAGCTCTTAGTTTGATTCATTTTCATTGGTGTGAAAGCGTCAGTCGGAGGCTTTGCACCA